AACACCGGATCATTTTTCTCAATAAATAAATGACAAAGTATATATTTTTGTCTCATTTGTTTGATTGGATTCTCTTTGTCTACTTTCAGGATTTGTGTGAAAATCTAATTATGTTTTGGGTCATATTTATGCAGAAATATAGAAAATTCTAAAGGGTTCTCAAACTTTCAAGTAGCACTGTATATCATCATATTTTGGATTTAAAAAAAATCCCATGCTTAAGTTTTTTGTCATTATAATAAACCCCTAATAGTGTATTATAATAGTAATGGCTAAATGAGGGCTGCGGCTCTCCAGGACCGACGTTCGCCACCCCTGGTCTATGCCTATAAGATTTAAGATTCAATGCACCTCTGAAAAAAAAAAAGGAGGGAAATATTTACAATTCTGAATAATTGCTACCAAATTCACTGGTTTGCTTTTTAAAACTATTTCATAGTTGAAATATTCAAAACTATAAGTATGGTTGTACAGAAACTAGAAGTACCATTTTAACATTCATGAGAACTTTGAGAGGAAATAATTGAACATGACGTTTTTAGTCGTGAAAAAAATAAATAAAGGGGAGTTACCAAAACTCAGGTACCGCCACCACTAAGGTTCTTTAGCAGCTTTGTTCTTTCCGAGGAATTTCAGGAGGCTTTTAAGATTATGATCTTCTCATGCAATTCCCACGTTTAATCCGTTCCAAAACATAATAATTACACAAGTTTCCCTTGTACGAAATCCACCCACCTTCAAAATAATCATTCAAATCAGCAGAAAATGCTGAATCATTGCTCTCTGGCAGGATGAACTCGATCAGCCTCAGGGTTACAATCTGCACGTCTCTCAGGTTATTCATGTGCAGACTTGCCCTACCGCAAATTTCTCAGCACAACCATAAATGGTGCTGGTTTTTGAGCACGTCAAGTACACTTTAAAAAGTAACAATGTTTTGGTGTTGCCTCATCTGAGGTAATCAGCTTGATTCAGTTGCATTTAATCACATCTGACTTGAATAAATCCAGCACAGAATGACTCCATCACAAGTGGTATAGCTTTTTTATTAATAAAGTATCAAAAACAAACAACAAATATGACATTGAATGTTGCAGGCCATTATCTTCTCAATCATGACTTTTGGTAGCAATTGCACCTGCACACTTTGACATGGACACCAATGACGTGATTGATGAATTCTGGTTTAACCACAAATAGAAAGCATAGCTTGAACAAAGAAAAAAAAAAAATAATAAATAAAAAAAAAAGGAAAAAGCTACCTGACGCCTGCGTCACTTAACCTTTCAGTACATGACAGAACATACATTTAAACTATGCTCAAAAACATAAGGGAGAAGTTTGTGAAAAGATCAGGGGTTTTCCTCGGTTTAGCAGAAATGAGTGATTTTTATACTTTAGTACACCTTTCTGTAATATTAAGAAATGCAGTCACAGGGCCTGATCAGATGTCTTGTGGTGTGTGTTTCTTCACTAACAACATGGTGTGACACTAAAACTGCTTGACACGTGATCTAAGAACATAGTCAGACAATTAATAAGAGCTTTACTTCAAGTTTTTTTTTTCTTTAGGACAAGCCCAGCCAACAAAAATATGTTCTAAGAACATTTGGCTAAAATTCTCTATGTTATTTCTGAATAAACTAAAAACAAATATGCAAATGTTAGAGAAAACATTAAGGCAAATCATGCTCCATCTAAACCATTTGCTAACATTCCTGGAACATTACGTTTGAATGATCTCTGAATGTTCTGAAACAAGTAGTACGCAGTAACAAAATGCAACTAAAATTTTTTTGAAAAAAATAAAATAAAAAATACATTACATGATGGTGCTAACACCAAATACATTTCCATTCTAGTAATGTTACTGGACATTTGCTCTTAACATTTCCAGAACATTAGCTAAAGTTTTGAGAACATTTCTTGTTAGCTGGAAGTGTAGAGGTTTGTGCATCCAGACAATAACAACACACAGCTACAGTATATGAAAAATGCAACGTCAAAAAATAAGTATGTCCTTGCAAACAGCACAAAAACACTTTTTTTCTCTCCCCAGTAGGCTAGCAAACGCAGACCTTCCTGATCACAGTATTGGAACAACAACAAAGTCATACGGTTGAGGTGATAGCAGACAGGCTTTCGGTGAAGAAGAGTAGAAACTTCCTTGTAAGTAGGGTGCGGGACACCTCATCGTCTCAAAGTCCACTCCGTGTCGACTTCCCTGTTATTTTATCTGTTTATTTAATGTGAGCTTCCTGTAATATATATATAGACCAAGTCCTGAGAGATTAGTAGCAGCTTGAAATACTTCATGTGGCATGTTATGTGGACACTTAACAAGGCAGAGGCCAGAGATAAATAAGTAACTAAACAACTTCATCACCCTGTATGCCATTAAATGAAAAAAAGTTACACGCAAATTACTACATTTGTTTCCTCTCACTAGAATAGTACTTGCGGTCAAACACACCGACAGGGTTTCATTTAACCAACAAGCTGATAAATAAATGAAATCATGTTGTTCTAGCATCAACATGACATCAGGCTTTGGTGCATACAAAAAGCATATCATGTTAAACATACATACAATTATGAACACATTTAAATAAAATGTGACGCATCAAACGCCCTTCAACACTTTAGTGCTTTAACAGTCTCTTTCAGTGTACATCAGACCGACCTTGACTGGCATCATGGCAGGCACCCGTGTTTAGTCCTTTATAACGTGGGTGAACCTTCCAGCGTTCCTTGGCAAGGACTGCCAAACCATTAGCTTCTTGCCTGTACAGTTTGTGATTTAGAGATGGCCACAGCTAGTTGGTATTGAGGTGTGCGTTGGTCCACTTGTGGTAAGATTCAGACCTTGCAGGGTGGTCTCTTTGATTTGCTGGATGAAGAGCATCCTCTCGTCTTCAGGGGTCTGGCCGTTCTGAGCTCGGACGATACAGGTGGGCCTATGCAGGTTAAGCATGTAAACTAGCTGCTGCTTTTGGTTCTTCAGCTCCTCAATCTGGGATTTCAACTCGGCATTGATGGACTCCAACTTCTCTGACTCCTGAATTAAAAGGAAAGCCATTTATAGACTACATACGAGTGTAAAATTCAAATATTTAATATAAATAAAACTTTTTTAATACCATATCATGTTAAACATACATACAATTATGAACACATTTAAATAAAATGTGACGCATCAAACGCCCTTCAACACTTTAGTGCTTTAACAGTCTCTTTCAGTGTACATCAGACCGACCTTGACTGGCATCATGGCAGGCACCCGTGTTTAGTCCTTTATAACGTGGGTGAACCTTCCAGCGTTCCTTGGCAAGGACTGCCAAACCATTAGCTTCTTGCCTGTACAGTTTGTGATTTAGAGATGGCCACAGCTAGTTGGTATTGAGGTGTGCGTTGGTCCACTTGTGGTAAGATTCAGACCTTGCAGGGTGGTCTCTTTGATTTGCTGGATGAAGAGCATCCTCTCGTCTTCAGGGGTCTGGCCGTTCTGAGCTCGGACGATACAGGTGGGCCTATGCAGGTTAAGCATGTAAACTAGCTGCTGCTTTTGGTTCTTCAGCTCCTCAATCTGGGATTTCAACTCGGCATTGATGGACTCCAACTTCTCTGACTCCTGAATTAAAAGGAAAGCCATTTATAGACTACATACGAGTGTAAAATTCAAATATTTAATATAAATAAAACTTTTTTAATACCATATTCAAAATTAAAAATATATATAAATATATAAAAAATGTTTTAAATTAAACTTGCATAATATAATAAATATAATTACCTTTTGTAAATGGTCTGTTTTCTCTTTTTTCTTGTTTCTGCATTTTGCTGCTGCAATTTTGTTTCTTTCCCTCCTTCTTTTTCTCCTTTCACCCTCCTCTGGAGTGACCTGAAATGACAATATTTATCAGATGTGTTCAGATATACCTACATTGCGTAATAAATATTGATTTCATGAAAGCTGAAACCGTCTAATGATTCTGAATTAGGTCCACAAGTGGATGAACAAGTGAATTGTGCAAGCATGGCTTTTCTGCATGCGTGTTAGTCAATATAACTAATGTGAAATACAAGAAATCACATTTGATTCAATGTTCTAACTGTAAATGAGTGGTTCTCACCTCCCGCTTCATCACAGGAAGTTCAGTGGGGCATTCGGTGTTCATACACGCTCTGTCAGTGGTCAGGGTGCTCATGCCGTTGGACAGGCGTTTGTTCTGGATGGCGTAGCGCAGCTCCTCTTTCACTAATGGAGTGAAGTTTGTGAAGTCGTCCAGCGTGAGTGAGCCGGGCGGGGAGAGGCAGGGTACCAAAGCAGACGCACTGATCTCCAAGGGACCCAAACCAGGATGCTGAAGCATCATTCCGAAATCTAAAACATTTGAAGCAAGAGTTAAATCATGGTCTTAATACGGAAACTGGATCATAGTAAACTTTCTGTAGTCAGTTCATTCTCTAAAAATGACTAGACTGCGGAGTTAACTGTAGATAGTTAGTCATGTAATAAAAATGTAAAAATGCGACAGTGAAAAACTATTTTAAATCTGAAAATAATCATTAAAAACAATACATGTAATTGAACAATTAATGTAAAGTAGTATTTCAGAAATAAAAAGCATGACCATATATAATTCTATTCAATATATGCATATATTTATGATGATTTTTATTCACAATTTATGGAGAAAACATCATATTTAACAAGGCAATAAATATACTGCTAAAATGTTTATATTAATAATACAATAAATCCCCTTATGATTTAGCGCGCAAGGAGTATTTCCAAATCTTATTTTGTTTAGTAAATTAAATAATGATAGTATTATTTTAAATGTTGTTGTGTATTGTTACCCTTATGGTGTTTTACGTATATATATAAAACTATCTTTATACTGTTATTATTTATAAACCGGTGCTAGAAAGTTATTTTCTTAAGCTTAACGTTTAAACTCATTTAGCCTTCAATTTTACCACATGCCTACATTTTGCAATGATTTTATATTTCAGATTTTAATAGCTCAAATAAGTTAGTATATTAAAATAATACAACGTAATGCCACGTACACTGTGCTAGCCCATCACATAATGTTTTAGCATCATCACAATATGTTATTTTAGAGTATTGTGTAGGTTCTGGCAACAGTTGTCATATACATATATATAGCATATGCATTGAAGTCACATAACTAATCTTATATAGAATATATCAGACACATTTTAGTCATTTATTTAAAAGTTATGCGATTACATTCAACAACCAAATTACATGTTCTACTTGTATGCATTGCAGGTCTACAATCTTTATCAGTATAATCCGGTAAAATCATCTTTAACGGTTTAATAAACTCTAATCCGGTTACCATGAAATCTCTATGCGAGTAAATATTTTTTTTTACAGTCGGCTATAACGATACGCCAACAGAACCACATGCATATCAGTTATCCAAATATTTCAACCCAGTTCCGCACGTTTTGTAACTATTCTAGAGGACTTAGACTATGATAAGAGAACAATTAAATACAAAAAAACGATATAAATATAAACAACAACAACAACAATATAAAATGGAGCTATAATAAGTACAATCGCTTGACCCAAAACACAATTGTATCGAAATCAGTCACTGGCTGAGTTTATTTATTAGAACACAGCGTAGACATTTTCCAGTGTGTTCTAGAAACCCATAAATAACAAGTGAACAATGTTGTCACTCACCTTGTTTTGACTGAATAAACGCGCGTGTTGTGATGCTCTCCTCCGACTGGAGTGTTCTCGCGCTCAGCTGGTAAAGTTACAGTTGTCGCCGGCTCGTTGCATCACCTCTTTTTATGGAGGACGTGAACTAGCTACTACGCGGGGGGGCGGGGCAAGTGACGTCACCCTATTTATAGTATCAAGAAGGCTGTCTTTGCGATGATGCAATCAGGCAAGCCTCTGTGCGCACCATAACTGGGCAAGCTCAGACCCCGCCCTCTCCGCACTGTGGAGGATTCGAAGTCGTAGCCTGACATGTTAACCTAATGAGCAAATAAATACATACCCGTGTAATGACATGGGATCTCTGGTATGCTCTAGTGTAACGTACTGAATAGTTGTGGGGGGAAAAAGACATGGGAGAGGAGAGATTGACTGGCTAGTTGGTCAGAATGAGAACAGAAAATCACTCTCACTCTGTTAAACGCACTCATATTTTGTCTGTTAATGGAGAATTGTATGAGGATGGAGAGAAGATCCCAAGGTCAGTGTGTTGCAGTCTTTTATTTAGTCTGTTTAGTCTTTTAAAGTTCATGAATGCTGGGTTAAATACAACCCAGCGCTGGGGGGAAAATGGCCAGCTATTGGGTTGTTTTGACTCAATGGTTGGGTTACTACACAGAAGGTTAACCCAACTGCTGGGTCAAAACAGCCCAGTTGCTGGGTTTGTCCATATTTCACCCAGCACTGGGTTGTATTTAACCCAGCGTTTTTTAGAGTGTGATCATTTGGTTTTGCACATCCACCAAAAATGTTCTCACCATTTAACATCTTAATGTCCAGCCGTTTAACTTGTCCCAGTAATTTCTATGATTTACACTCAGGTTTTCAGAGGTTGATTTGATTTTCTTTGTCAGTAATTAAATTCAAAGATTGAAGTTACACTCTAAAAAATGCTGGGTTAAATACATTGTTTTGACCCAGCGGTTGGGTTACTACCCAGAAGGTTGGGTTAAACATTTAACCCAACCTCTGGGTCAAAACAACCCAATTGCTGGGTTTGTCCCTATTTTACTCAGCACTGGGTTGTATTTAACCCAGCATTTTTTAGAGTGTATCAGTGTAACTTTGGCACCACTTTTACAGAGCGCATGTTTTTAATTTTAGTGAGTTGAAATTTTCCTGTGTGTTCAAAAAAATATAATTTAAGGTTGTAAATATAATTCTAGTAAATATTGCTGCATGCAAGTTTAGACATGGCTTTATTCTGTTATAATTTGTATTTGCCTATTTTTAACCTTTTCTGAAATCCTAGTTTATCTGTGGGGTGAAATCAGTGTTAAGCTAGTGGATATGAGTAGTTGTTTTTTTTAGTAGCTGTGAAGAGTAGTTGTGTTTCCATTAATGTTGCATTTAATTTCCATTGTTAAAACAGACGGAGGTGTTTTAGAGCAGACAGGATTATTTCTTTATCTTTGTAATATTAAAATAAAGTACCAAAAAAAAAGGAACACACGCATGTCTGGTCAGCTATCCTTGTGGGGACTCTCCATAGGTGTAATGTTTTTTCTACTGTACAGACCGTATATTCTATTGTCCTACACCAACCCTACCCCTAAACCTACCCCTTACAGGAGACTTTCTGCATTTTTAAATTTTCAAAAACTTCAATCTGTATGATTTATAAGCTTTTGTACCCGTGGGGACCACAATTTAGGTCCCCGCCGTGACACGAGTCCCCATGAGTCTGTGTGTAGTCAAGTTTAAGTCCCCACCAGGATATATAAACCAGTACACACACACACACACACACACACACACAGTCATGTTTGTTTCTGTGAATTGTGGGGACTTTCCATAGACTTGTATTACTTTTATACTGACCCAACAGTATCCCCTAACCCAACCCTAAACCTACCCCTTACAGAAAACCTGTTTGCATTGTTACACTTTCAGATATACATCATTTACTATATTTCTTTCCCACGTGGGAACCACAGGCACAATTTCAGGTTTTACTATCCTTGTGGAGACATTTGGTCCCCACAATATAGCATAAATAAGTATACACACACAAATAATCAACAAATAATTTGCCATATAAATCTACGAAATAATCAGATAAAGAAAAAGGTGATGACGCAAATGTTAGAGCTGATAGGTTTTTGTTTGTTTACTTTGATTTGTGGTGGATAGATGTTCAGTGGAATGATTTTGAAGTGATTTCAGGGAGTGGGCAGTCGGCAGTGTCTGCATTCCTCTACTGGATGTGAAGCACAGCTCTCTTGCTCTAGATGGGTCATTACACACCCCGGTACAAGCTCATACCTCTGGGCTCTGGAAATTTCCAGTAATCTCTCTTCACCAGTCCTGGTGCAATCACTACTAAAACACTCCCTTATTACAAACAATTATGCTTGTACACACAATAGTGTTACTAAGGAGCCATGTCTAAACATGACACAAAGACTAAACATGGCATTATTTATTTTCCCCAATAGACATGATGGCTGTCGGGCTTAAAAACAAATGTCTCAGAATTAATGAATCTGAGTTTTGAATAAGTTCCATTTGACTTATAGAAAATACTTGAATATGAACTATTGTAAAGTGAATTTGCTGTTGTTGTTTTGACATCTACCGATATATATGGAAATAACTATTAGTGTAAGTTTTTATATGAGAGAATTAGATTCAGTTTTTTTAAAATAGCATTTCATGTGGTTTCTGATTTTGCCCTTTGTGGTTTATTTTTCCTTGTTTGCTTTTTCCTAAAACTCAAAGAGATGCATTAAAAAAAATTATATTATGAAGTGAATTTGTTGCTTTTTCCTAAATTGATATCTGCCGATAAAATATATGAAGATATGAAAATGAAGATACAGTGTGGTCTCAAAAAGACTTTTAATTTAGAAAAATATTTGTATTTTGTACAAAGCGTTTATCTTTCACTTTTGTTTGTACCATACATACACTATCTAAATCCTCACAACCAGCATCATCATTATAATGAAAAGTATATCAAATATGTCCTAATTATGTCTATGCCATGTATACTATTTTCTGAAGCACAAAAAGACACATTTAGAAATCAATAAAATAAAGCAAAAGATCGAAAAGACTGATATTTTTATTCTTCCTTTTCTTATTTTATTCTCTTTCCAATTCCATTTAACTTTATGTGCTCATTATGAAAAACCAAGGCTTGTGGTTTTACTAAGTTCAAACAAGAACATAGTTTCTATAGTTCAAAATGTAAGCAGATTCTTTTAATAATTTAATTTCCCTTTATTGCATTTTCTTCTTATTTGTATTATTATTTTTTTTTTAACTCCGAATGATATGGCCTTTGTCTCGCAGGCTCAGGTTAAACAGCGCACAAAGCACTTTCATAAGAAGCACAGACTGCGCATTGTTTCTTTAAGACAAGCACTTGAGTATTCTCGCCAGGGGAGAATGCGTCATCCTTCCGGGAACTTGAGACTACAGTAATCCTGAGACTGTCCCTTGTTTTCTAGGCTTGGAGGTGAGAAGTCAAATCACCCTTTTCCCAAAACATCACGAGTGTGAAACGAAACGTATATTGCTGGAATAATGAAAGCAATCGGCATCGATATTTTGATGTGCACTTTCGGTCTGACACATGGCATTCCAGTCAAACGTTAGTCATCGAAAACGCCTGATGGTTTCTCTATAGATGCCATTACATCTACAAATCTAATGATGGAGTACAGCATCTGTTAGTATACCATGTAGCACACTAGGAACACAGTCGATACCTTTATATAGGCTATAGGATTATATTTTGTGTATTTGTATGCAACTATGCCCCACCCTTTAGATTTATACATCAACCGACTGCAGTCAGAATAATATAATACCAAAAATATAAACATCCATATCGAAAGTATTACAATTATTTTCTAGACAACACTGAAACTAAAATGAAATCATTTGTTTGCAGTAATTTTTTGTTATAATGTGGCAAGGTGTAGTGGTGATCATCAAACGCATTCCTAAACTAACATTTACACACAAAAGTAGTAGTATTTATGGTATTTATCAAGACCCATAAATGGGTCACGAGTCTGATGTAGAAAAATGGCTTGTACTAATATAATATTTGCTTCTGTGTCACACTTTTGTTGTTGTTTAAAGTATTTACAAATTATTAGTTAATAATTTGCATATTGTTTGGGCTGTACGCAGTTCAGGTTCATTTATAAAAAATAGAAAAAAGTCTGATTTTGTTAAGTTGTATACGATAAACCATTTTTATCATATGTCAGGTTGTCACATGGTGTCCAAAGTAAAATCTGGGTATTGAAGCAAAACAAGTCACTCCAGGTGGTTTAAGGGCTTCTACAGCATAGACCTCAAAATGACTAAATAATAACCTACATTTCAAGTCTGACGACATGTGGTTTATTCTTTTTTATTTCTATATTTAGTAAGCGTTTTGTATGGGTTGAGATTAATATTTTCCAACCAGCCTTGTCAGTGGATACGGAACGTACACAAGCTTCTTGAACTTAATATAATATAATATACGTATTTTTTTGTTACACCAAATACACAAAATAATGATCTTTAAAAAAGCATCATATGACCCCTTTAAATGACTCGGCAGCAATGGGGCCCAAATATGTATAGCATCACTTGCTCAGTATAAATGTTGACACTGCTTTCTCTAAATAATAGTTTATATAGCTTCACTCTTACATATGTGAGATAGACAGCTGTAGGCCTCATAGTTATTTATAAAGTCCCAGTTAACTCAGTGTTACCTTCACACTGCCCTCACCCTGGTACACTCACCACAGCACTGTGTACATGTTTACACCGGCTGCGTCCATAGTGACGGACTCCCGCCCAAAGGACTTTCGTTGCAGACAGTTGAAGTAGGGAAAGCCAGGATTCCCAACCCCGTCACAGGCCGTGACCTCATTTCTCTCTCCAGCAGGCCTCTGTGCTGCGTTTTGTTATTTCGGTCCTATGTGCAAACAGCAAGTAGGGTGGGAGTAAATACCTAAAGGTCATTCCCCACTAAAGAATAAATGCCTTACGTAATTCATAAGGAAACCAAATTGAATCACGCTCGGAACGTAGTACATGTAATGAAACCCATTTAGCGAGGAATTCCTCTTTTCGGAGGCACTGATTTTCCTGTCTTCGGTTTTTGTATTCCATTTAGAATGAAACTTCTATGTATGGTAACGTAAACTACGTTCTGTACTATCTGCTTCCTGGGGATGTGAAAGTAAATTGCTGCTTGTTCTGTGACTAAGGAAGTTTTTATGATTTTTTTTTTCTCATTCCACATCCAGTGAGCATCCGAGCAGTACCTCAGGCAGACCTCATTTTCATCATTAATTTCCCATTCCTCACTTCCTCACCAATTTGCTGTAAATTTTTCTTGCAATTTTCTTCCTGGCATGTAGAACGTAACGCTCTAATTTCTGGTTTTTGATTTCAAGCAGGGAATTGAAGCAACACAGGCCTCCTATAAAAACTGCCACACTTAGTCTTTAAGAGCCACGTCATATTTAAAAAGTCACATGACTGCCTGTAAAGGATCTAGCTGTGAGTGATATAAAATTGATACGGTGAGCACAGAGCTGCACGAGAGGTTTCGGCCAATCAGCTTGCTAAGATGAGATGACATCATCTGACCGCTCTGTGGTATGACTACAGTATGCATCATTGCAGCATAGGATTAATAGTTAATGATAATCCCTTGAGATCAGCCAATCAGAGCAGAGGAGAAGAACATGGTCAGAGGGCATGTTCACAACCAGCAACGCTGTGCTGGACTGAAGCCAAATCCCTGTGTTTTGCCTTACCTGTGATATTAGTCTGTTTATATCTGAATCAAGGTAAGTGCATATACACACACTAACTTTTACAAGATATTCAGTGCTGGTAAAATGATATAAAAGATTGTTTCTAAAAATGCTTACATTTCAGAGCACAATACAGTAGACCATTTTTCAGCATGTATTATTTTCAAGCCTGCATATATGTCCTAAATCACAATTTGGTAGAATATTAACTTGCACAAGCTCAAGTGATAATGAGTTGAGTGTGTGCAGTCTGACATCATGATGAGTCAGAGAGTAACAGGACTCTGGAAATGCAGGTAGAGGCAGATGAGTCATAATCTCAAAGAACAACAGCAAAACAAAAATGCCCTCTGCCAGTTTTTCCTGGTTGTTATCTAAAAGACAAATTCACTTTTATAGATTTAAAAATATATATATTTATATACACTCTTAAAAATAAAGGTTCTTTATTGGCATCAATGGATCCACAAATAACTTTTACCATCCATGGAACCTTTTCATTCCACAAAAGATTCTTTAGATTCACGCTAAGAAAAAAATGGTTATTTTAAGAACTGTTCACCGAAAGGTTCTTTGGGGAACCAAAACTGGTTCTTCTATGGAATTGCTGTGAAACCCCCCTTTTGGAACCTTTATTTTAAAGAGTGTAGTGTTTTTTATGCATTGTCTATGTCTAATGCAGTGTTGAGATGCTGCAATTATTAAAGGGAGTTTTATGTTTAAAAATATGTTTAATATCATGCACACTCACATGAAATGAAGACTCTATACATGTGTGCAGCTAATTAAAAGCTCATTTATTTTACATGTTGCGATCACATGACCAAAAGCGATTGTTGCTGCATTAAAGTTCAAGTTTATTTGGACAAAATGATTGGTTAATTTCATATTTCTTTCTTCCTTCATTCACTGGCAAACAAATGAAGGTTTTCTTAGCACTAAACCAAAATAAAGAGCACACGGATGTGTAAATTATGTTTTATCCATTTTATCAAACTCACGCTTCTCTGAGGACTTATGGGAAATTAAATGTTGCAGAAGACTGTCATCTTATAAACCCCCGGGGGTTTTCAAAGTGGGGCCCAGAGACACTCGGGGCCGCAAGGGATTAATTGAATTATAAAAATAAGAAAGAAATACAAATTCGATTCAAATAAATAAATAGATATAACAAACAATGCATCTAACTGTACAGTGCTATAATGAATAATGAATGAACTAAATGTTTTCCAAATAATAATTTTACATGGATGCACAAGGATGATCATATTTAGGGGTCTGTGGCTTCTAAAAGAATAAAAACCAGTTATAAACCAGTTAAACGAATCATATGTTTTGACAGTCAATATTCTTCATTAACAATATACACATTGCATACTAAATTGTGATTTCTACATTCATAACATGATTATTTAAAGGTGATGTGTGTTATTTCTGCACCACACCAACAGGTTTCAAATCCTGACCTCATTCTTAAATATTTGGTTATATTCTTTGTCTTGCACTGTTATAAAGCATTTGGCCATGTTATACAAATATTTGAGTATTTTGTTCACACGACAAGAATAATAAGTTGTAGCCCAGAAATGAACCATAAACCTGCACTGTAGGCTATCATTTGCAAACAGAGATAATGTTATTCAATTTTTTTTAATGATTACAAGAAGACGTTTCCCTTATATTCCTGTACTTGATGTAAACAGTTTCAGTAAAAAGGTCACGGGACAGAACCAAAGACCCGTGTCATGTGATGAAGGGGAATTCCTGTTTGCTGATACACAACAAAGAGCACGCTGAGCATGGAGCGAGTCATGTGACTGGAGGTGCTACAAGTGGCATTTGCTTTGTGGAAAACACCCTCCTAGTTATTCAGCATATTCAGCCTGCTTATGCAACAATGAGCCAATTCTTGTTGTTTCCTCTATATATAGCTCATCCCTTGTCAAACAAACTGTCAGAAGCATGACCAGTGCAGTTTCATTCATCTAACCCATAATTATTGGCAAATTGACGTCATGTTTTTATAACCTTTGAATCACTAAATTTCTGATCTCCTTTTCTTCTATACTTGGCTGTTTTTTTTCGGTATCGGCTGTGGTATTAGCCACAAACTGACCCACATAGCTGCCCGAAAGATGTCTCAGTATGTAATTTACTTGTTTTCTCCACATGCTTGTGCTCATTACTGTTACTGGTACTTTCACAAGACTTGCTGAGCTCAGAACCTGACTGTATACCACAGATGCTTTCTTATCCAAAGTAATATACGGTACACTTACTATTGTGACAGTCAACTCTGCATTAAAAGGGATCAAAAATGAAATCCCAAACCTTTTTTCTGTGGAACATTTCTCAAATTTCCCCAAATTATTTTATGTTCCATAGAAGAAAAGAAGTCATACAGGTTTGGAATTACCTAAGGGTGAGAAAATGATGACAGAATTTTCATTTTTGGGTGAACTATTTCTTTAGCTCAGATTCTACCACATCCCTAAAATCTAGATGACTGTGAAAGTCTTCATTTGGCTGACTTTTGCTTTATAAAATAACATTTTAAATTGTGCTGTCAAATCAATTAATCGTGATTAATCACATCCAAAAATAAAAGTTTGTGTTTAAATAATGTGTGTACTGTGTATCTTTATACGTAGGCCTAAATACACACATATACATGCATATATTTAAGATATTATAGCATATATATATATATATATATGCATATATGTGTATATATATATGTATGTATACGTATATATGCATGTATATATATATATATGTGTGTGTGTATGTATGTGTGTATATTTATACATATACAGAGTACATACGTTATATGTAAATACAAACCTTTATTTTGGATAATAATATTTGACATTTCAAATATTATTTATTTATTTAGTACTGCTATTACTGATTAAAAGTTTTAGGTCATTAAGTTTTTTTTTTAAAAGAAATAATACTTTTATTATAAAAAGATGCATTAATTTGTTTAAAAGTGACAGTAAAAGACAATTTTATTAGACTATATATATATGTATCTGTTTCAAAGATTATGTTCTTTTGAATATTTTTTTTCAATAAAGGATCCTAAAAAATGCGTACCACTTTCCACAGAAATATTTCGCAGCACAACTGCTTTCAACACTGAATAATATGGAAAAAAAATTTGGAGCACCAAATCAGCAGATTGATTTCTGAAGGATCATGTGACACTGAAGACTGGAGTAATGGCTGCTTAAAAATTCACATGAATATATTGAAATATATTTAAATAGAAAACAGCTATTTTAAATTGTAATAATATTTCACAATACGACTGTATTTTTTAAATAAATGTAGCCTTGGTGTAGAAAAAAAAAAATGAAGGCATTCATGATTTTGTGGCCACAACATTCTTCAATTTATACAAATATAATCACAAACTAAACTGACAAATCAAAAGATTATGCTTTGTCATGATGTGAACAATTAACTATTTATTCTGAATGTATTCAATCATTTATTTCCAGTACATTATGTAAAGGGGGCATATAGTCTAGAGACAAAAGTTTTTTTTAGGGTATAAGGAAGTATTGCGTCAATAGGGTTGGGTTTAGTGCAATAGCAAACGTCATATGCTTCCCACATGTTTAGGCATCTATTTAGTCAGATATTACTTAATTTCTTCCTGATTTTATTTTTGTAGGCCAACTGGTGAGAAAGTTTATTGTTTGAACTTGATGTGACCTAGTTGTTAAGTTGCTATGATTATAGATATGTGCTGCTCTCTAGAGGAACCTGGAAGAGTTTCATTACAAGGAAGAGTAGCACAAAAACGAATGCCCTCGAGGTTTCTTTTACTAAAAGAAAGCAGTCTTTTGGTTTAATAATGCTCAATTTTGAAAAGCCAAAACAGCATGCATTGTTTCCTAATCAAATAATGCATCATTTTAATGAATAGTATTATTACTCACATTATTTATTAACATTCATGGGTCATTTTACAAAAGAAGTAGCATACTACAACCTGTAGAATTTTCAAAACAAAACGAAAATCCAACTATTCTCATTAATTAGTAGAACCAAGTAAATATAAATCAAAATACTCCCAAATATGCATTTTTTTATACCAGTAGCAGTGCAAACATCATGCATTGTTACTGTTATATATATATATATATATATATATATATTTATATATATAAAGAAATAAAATGAGTACATAGAAACCAAAAACTTCTAAAGTAAATTGTGATTTAATATAAATATAATGTATTTTTTAAAAATAAAATGTATACAGTTAACAAGTAATAAAATTATAGTAATATATAAAAATTATAGTACTATAATTATAGTAATAATTAGTAATACAATTCTATTCTTATAAAAGTCTTATCAAACTTTATAAATTGTTATTGTATATTATTTAGTGGAAAATGTGATATTTGATTCAGGATTCTTAATGACTAGAAAGTTATTAACCGCATTTATTTGATTACAGATTATAGATAAAAATCTTTTGTAACATTTTAACATTTATTTACTGTCATTTTTGATCAATTTAATGTGTCCTTGCTAAATAAAATAAAATGCTGGTATCATGAATCAAAATATTATGAATAAGTATGTGTGTATACATATAATTGTAGTTTTAAATAAAAACAAATCTCAAATAAATTAATAAATTACAAAACATAACTAAACAACTAAATAAATGATAAATATCTACCTGTGAGGCTAGTGTGTTCTCTTCATCAGGCATCATGTACCAAGAAAGACTTTTGTGTTTAGAGGAAGCACAGCCCTCCTCCACTAACTGTCTGATCTGAGTTAACTGTTGCTCCAACTCTTGTAGAGACAAACTCTGCTTCAGAGACACCCTGAGGAGACATGGACAGCAGTTAGCTTTCCTGCTAAATATACAGGAAGACCGACACAACACATGAGATGAGATGAGTAGATTAAAATTCATTCATCATCTAATCAATCACTCAACGTACGGTCCAAGAACTTCCTGGACGGCTTTCTTCACCACAGTTATCAGTTCAATGAGCCCTGAAAAGACAAAATGAAGATCAGTATCAACTATGGTGGATGTGACCTCATAAACATAGGATTAAACTCGGATTAGATGCTTTTACACAGATCTGACACTGTCCTCACCTTCTCCAAGTAAGTGTTGGATACTTGACAGATATTGTTGTTGGACATCAGGAGGGGCCAAGGGGGTCTAAAGTAGCAGTATAATAGAAATGAAGTAGAATTTACATACTGTAACATGGTAAAATCAGGTTGCTCTGCCTTTAGAACACCAAGCCCTGACATACCGTTCCATTCTTGGTCACGGAGTTGTCCAGGTACAAGTAGCCACCAATTATGTTGAGCTGAACTCGGAGTAACACCACCAGCATGCAAGTGCTGTAAACCGCCACAATGCTGCGGGTAAAACCTGGAGAGTAGAAATCATTGTTTGAGAACAGGAATAGATTTTTGCATTTTTACTTCTGTAGTGTGACATATTGTGAAACAGGACATTCAACTAAAAATTTCAGGGCATGAATCAGTTTGATTGTGAAAAGTTGGTGTTCCATTATCCACCAGTATTGAGCCAAAACAATGCCTTAATAACTATTTGGTCATTGCTCAACATTTTCCAATAACCCACACGACATCAGCAAACAATAAACATTTATAAAAAAAAGTTTGAGGTTGGTAAGATTTTTTTTAAATGTTTTTTGAAAGAACACAGTATAAAGAGTAATATTAGTGAAATATTATTGCATTATAAAAATTGTTTTCTATATTTAAATATAATTTATTGTTGTGATGGAAAAGCTGTATTTTTTAGCAGCCATTCTTCCAGTCTTCAGTCTCACATGATCCTTCAGAAATCATTCTAATATGCTGATTTGGTGCTCAAGAATAATTTCTTATTATCAATGCTGAAAACATTTATGCTGCTTAATATGTTTGTGGAAACTTTGTTTCATTTTTTCAGGATTCTTTGATAAATGGAAAGTTCAAAAGAACAGCATTTATTTGAAATATAAATATTTTGTAATGTTATACTGTAAAAAAAAGTGTAATGTAATAACGTAAGAGCTTTTACTGTCTGCCTTTACAACCTTCCTGAATAATATTAATTCTTGTATAAAAAAAAAAATACTGACCCCAAACTTTTGAAATGTAGTTTTTAAATTTTTTTTGAAAAAGCAACATTAAATTGCCATTGCTCTTCCTTATATTTGAACACACCAAAGACTTGTTTTCTATATTTAAATATAATTTATTGTTGTGATGGAAAAGCTGTATTTTTTAGCAGCCATTCTTCCAGTCTTCAGTCTCACATGATCCTTCAGAAATCATTCTAATATGCTGATTTGGTGCTCAAGAATAATTTCTTATTATCAATGCTGAAAACATTTATGCTGCTTAATATGTTTGTGGAAACTTTGTTTCATTTTTTCAGGATTCTTTGATAAATGGAAAGTTCAAAAGAACAGCATTTATTTGAAATATAAATATTTTGTAATGTTATACTGTAAAAAAAAAAGTGTAATGTAATAACGTAAGAGCTTTTACTGTCTGCCTTTACAACCTTCCTGAATAATATTAATTCTTGTATAAAAAAAAAAATACTGACCCCAAACTTTTGAAAATGTAGTTTTTAAATTTTTTTTTGAAAAAGCGACATTAAATTGCCATTGCTCTTCCTTATATTTGAACACACCAAAGACTATAAAAGGCAAAGGAAAATTGTGCAGATTGTTACAGATTTCAAACAATTTATTCTTAAGAACAGATTGAAAGTACACAATAGCACTAGGAATCTGCATTAAGAAAGTAAACAGGGTCAATTTCAATGTTCAATGTTGACTTTAAAGCAATAAATATGTAATCCTACAACAAAGAAACTTATTCAACTCACTAATAATCTTTAGATCCTCCCAGATTTCAAGTTTATTAGCTGGCCTGTGTAGGAAGACATGATCACTTGCGTCAGTTCTGGTCTTTTATTTTGTAATGCAGATAATCATCTATAATTTACATGAATGACTCACTTAGTTTTCAGCAAAGCGGTGATGCTCTCTGAGTTCAGGTGATGTATGATTGCCTCTCGGAGAGTGGGGAGCATTGATAACACTACAGAAAAGACACAATTACATATACTGGGCAGAACAAATATCACTTTTTCACAACATTTATTAACTGATAATCTGCATTCTGTTTTATTGCTTTACCTGTCATGTTACATGTCCTCTGGTTGCTTTCAAAATGAAACTGTCTCCGAGCTTGAGTGATGTATTCGGCTGCCTCTCGCTCCTGCATCTCCTGAATCTTTCTTTGTGCATATTTACCAAGTAGATAGACACCTGGGCATGAAGTTTGAGAATGCATTACAATATAATGTACATGTTAAGAAACTGACATGCAATGTGCCAGATATATTATTCAGTGATATAAAAACTGCATTCTGGGTAAAAATACCAGGGTAAAGTCCATATCAACTTTCTTTGACTGTGCCAATAGACAAACTAGGTGACAGGTGAACTGAGATTGATTAGCTGGATGTGGAAATAAGATCTAATGCTTGGCAACACCGTAATAACATGCTAAACTATATATAATGCATATTATAACGACATGTATTAATATTCAGCTAGAAATAATTAATGCACAGTCACACGTAGCTAACATCTCTGAACTATATAAGCATGCAGGTGGTCTAGTTGCCCACGTTACCTCCAACAAAAACCCCAGCGAAGATGAATTTCCTCTTATGGCGTTTGATGAAATTCCATGTAGAACTCAACATTTTAAAAACAGACTTCACACCGCAAAAAACCCGAAAAAACTAGACGCAAAAGCGTGTTTAGACGTAACTCACTAGCTAGCACAATGCTACATGGCAATAACTTCTCGTGTTAGCAGCACACACAGGCGAACTACAGATAACAGATCGCGTCGATCGATCGATTAAGCGGTCGACCCGCCGCCCTGAACGGTCCATCCATTATTACGGTCCTCCGTAAACACGTCTTCTTCTTCTTCTTTTTGTTCAATGGCCGTTCACTCCTTTGGAGTATTACCGCCACCTACTGTATATCTTGCGCATATGGTGGTGAATCTGTTCCTCCGTAAACACGTGTGCATAACCGCCATACAACTAACAAGAAGAAGAAGAAGTTTAGAAGTTTTGGAAGGATAGCAGAAGAAGAAGCCCAGTCATGTGGAATAATAAATGTAGAAATGAGCCCTGCAGTAGTAGTGTCACCCATTTCACCTTGGTTATTCCCTTTACCATTAGTAGACTTTAATTTGCAAGAAATTATTAATGACAAAAATAGAGTAATGGCAAAAGATGTCATGGTTCAACTGTATCTAGAACAGAATTACAACTCCGCAATCTCAATTTTCACTGATGGTTCCAAAGATCACGAGACATCAGGACACGAGCTGACGAGCATCAGCAGCTGTATTTGTCCCAACTTATCAAATCAAGATTGGTAAAAGAGTTTCTGATCAAGTAGGAGTTTACACTACAGAGATGGTAGCAATATTATTAGCTATCAGGTGGATGGAGGATACTCTGTCAATGAATGCGGTGATATGTTGAGCTTCATTCCCTGCATTATCAAGTCTTATCAGTGGAAGATCTTCAAGACAAGACATTTTGTATGAAATTCTTTTATGTATGTATAGAGTGAGTAAGATAGGAATTAAGATATGTTTCCTGTGGGTTCCAGCACACGTGGGAGTGGATGGAAATGAGGTTGCGGATCATTTAGCAAAACAGGCACTGAAATGATCACATATAGAAATGATTATACCACTAAGCAAAGAAGAAGTTAAGGTTAAAATTAGAACAGCAGACGGTTAGACTTCGCATTGGCCATACTGCTTTAAATTCTTCTCTATATAAAATGAATAAGCATGAGTCTGGGAACTGTAGTCTGTGTGGATTACCAGAAACAGTAGAGCATGCACTATTACGTTGTTCTGCGAATGATAATGAAAGAGCATTTCTGTTGGAAGAATTAAAAGAAATAGGGATAGAAAATATGACACTTAAAACTTTGTTGAATAATGGCTTGAATCATTATAAAATATATAATGCTTTAATGACATTCTTTTAAAAAGTAGATCTGTTTAACAGGATTTAGAAGAATAAAGAAAACATTTTTTTCTTTTTTCTATTATTATTAATATATGAATTTATTGTTATTATTATTTTTTTTGTTTTTGTTTTGTTCTTCCTATTCCATCAATGGTCCACACTCCAGCCCAGTAGGTGGCGGGAATGCACCTATCGTTTGTTTGCCAACCGCCATAAAACTCCAAAAGAAGAAGAAGAAGAAGAACAAGATCAAGAACGTGTGCATAAGCAAAACGTTACTATTTGCTGATTTGTGCTGCTTTATTTTTACGGCTGTAGGTTCGTTGAGGATACAGATGGAGATGCAAGCAGACAGCGTTGAACCAGAGAAAAGTGATTTTCTGCAGCCGTTAGATAGTGAGATACAAACATGGATGTCAAAGGCGTTTGACATGGTAAAACTTCTCTGATGTTTACTGTTTGTTCACAGTATTTACCATGGTAACGGGCATTTCCCCTCAAATACCGTAGTTACTAAAGTAACGTTACGGCATTATTTTGAAACGAGTATGTATGTATGTATTTATGATGATTAATATCTCATTTCTTGTGAAGATTTTCCACAGTTTTTGTAACAAGAACTAGTTTCTATGATATTTTGGTTGTCATGGTTAATGTGTATGGTGTGTGTGCGCCTGCCTACATGGTAAATGTATTTTTGGTTGTTTTGAGAAAATTATAAACATATGAATTACTTTAAAGGCACTTGAGGCCCTTGAGAATGGTGAGGTTCCAGTTGGCTGTCTGATGGTTTACAACAATGAGGTTATTGGAAAAGGCAGAAATGAGGTGAATGAAACAAAAAATGTAAGTAACTTCAAGATGTGCCTAATTATGATAATTAAATTAATCATAAATTATAATGATTGTTTTATATGGTTATTGGAAGGATGTGTAAGCCAACGATAATCCTTATATTAATGTAACTGACGATAATCCTAGGTAGAGGATTCCCAAATCCAGGTGTGAAAAACTTGTTGCCTCTTTCCCAAAAAGACTCATGGCTGTATTCGATCAAAAGGGTGCTTCTACTAAATACTGAGCAAAGGGTCTGAATATTTAGGACCATGTGATATTTCAGTTTTTCTTTTTTAATAAATCTGCAAAAATGTCAACAATTCTGTGTTTTTCTGTCAATATGGGGTGCTGTGTGTACATTAATGAGGAAAAAAAATTAACTTAAATGATTTTAGCAAATGGCTGCAATATAACAAAGAGTGAAAAATGTAAGGGGGTCTGAATACTTTCCGTACCCACTGTATATATATATATATATATATATATATATATTCAAATGATAATTGATCAGTTACTTAACAATCATATTTTTCAAATCTGTGAAGTTATTCAGAAATGCATAGAAGATGTGGTTCACAGACCGTGATGGGAATACACCTCTTCTATGATGGACATTCAGTTTCTGAATTTAAATGAATATTGATATTTGTGTGAGTCTGAATGTGTAAATGGTGTAACTGTTTAGAGATTGTCAAAAATAAGTCTCATTCCAAGGATTATTTTCTTGCAATTGATTCATGATCAAATCATTATTAAGATGTGTACACTCAAGGTGAGAGAAAATGTGCTTAAATGTTAAAATTCTAGGAATTTAGTACTGTACATTATGTACTTATGTACTTATTTCTAATTAGATGAAATAACCTCACGTCTGTGCCTGCTTTGCCCAAGGCTACTCGGCATGCAGAAATGGTGGCACTGGATCAAGTGCTTGATTGGTGCCGTTTCAGAGAGAAGGACCCAAAGGAGGTGTGTGAACAGACTGTACTTTATGTGACAGTGGAGCCATGTATCATGTGTGCAGCTGCTCTGCGTCTGCTTCGTATCCTTGATGCCAAAATGTGGTCGACTATTAGTTTAGAAAATTTTACACATACAGTACCATTAATGGTTTTGAAAGAAGCCTCTTATGTCCACAAAGCTGAATTTATTTGATCAAATATACAGTAAAACAGTAATATTGTGAAATATTATTACAATTTACAATAACTTTTTTATTTTTATTTTGATATTAAAATTGAGTATATTTAATTTTTACCATTTCAAATTGAATTTTACCATTGGATTTCACAATTTAGGGTTAGGGTTGATTTTTAGCAGCCATTACTGCAGTCTTCAGTGTCACATGATCCTTTAGAAATCCTTCTAATATGCTGATTTGGTGCTTAAGAAACATTTATTATTATTATCAGTGTTAATGTGCTGCCTAATATTTTTGTGTAAAATATTGTTTGAAAAGAATAAAAAGTTAAAAACAGCATTTATTCTAAACAGAAATATTTTCTTACATTATATAGTCTTTACTGTCGCTTTTGAGCAATTTGATGCATCCTTGATGAATAAAAGTATGAATATTTTCTTAATACTTGACATCAAACATTTGAACAGTAGTGTAGATCTTTGTGTCACTCGCAGCTCTTCCTAGTCAAGTTTTTCTTACGACTTGTACATTTTTAATGCATTATTGCATTTACCCCAGGTTTCTATTGTCTAGTAGTATTAAAATAATGTCAGTGCTAAAAGGACACCTTCACATTTAGAAAGACATACCTCTTGTTGTATATGGGTGCAAAAATGAGCGGTTTGGAGGCTGTGGATCTGTCCTGGACGTCTCATCGGATCATATACCACACACTGGAACTTCATTTAAGGTAAAAGAATTTCCCTCCAATTCCTATCAAGTTAAATTTAAATTCCAGCTGATCCAAAAGGAAGCCAGTTCCTTACATTCTGAACCGTTCTGTGTGGCTAGAATATTTTTCTTGTAGAAACGTCCACATTCCCTAAATTGTAGTCCAGACCACATTGCATATTTTTGCTGTAGCGCACGTGCTTATTACTTGCTTATTACAGTGCATCGCCGGCTATAGAGCAGAAGAGGCTGTTGAAATGCTCAAGACATTTTATAAACAGGAAAACCCAAATGGTAAGGGAAATCTGTTTAATGTATGCATATTAATGTTTTCATTGTCCTGTTTCTGAAACTGATGTTTTTTTCTCCCACGTTTTTTTAGCTCCCAAACCTAAAGTGAGGAAAGATTTGATCAGTCCACCAGAAGGCGCTGTAGTCATTCAGGTAAAACGAGGACCGCAAGATGAGGAGAGCGAAACAATTGCTCCTTTGAGCTGAAATGGAAAATATTTAGACATTGAGACTTTTACAAGACCTTGTCAGTGCCTGGATTTCAGTGAATTTTGATTTTGCCATCTTTTTGAGGTCATTGATTTGATCTACTATTTGAGGAAGCACATTGGCTCATTATCTGGACCACATAGCTGGTAAACCTCCAGGCCTCCTCCTCTTCTCTGTGGCTGGACGCTGAGAGTTGTCTGTTAACAGTGTGTAGAAGTAATAGACTAGGCCTGTTCTGCATTAAAGCACAGGTTCTTCTCCAGCTCTTGCTCTCTTTGTGTCCTTATACAACCCAGAGAACTGGTTCTGAACTCTCAGTGATCTCAGTCTTGGGCTCACTAGCAGATGCAGGACAAACCCAGGTGGAGTTTCCACTTACTTCATAGCCAGAAACTTTAAAGGGATAGTTAAAAAATAATTTCTGTCAGTACTTTCTCACACTACTTTTTTTTCTTCAATGGAGCACAAAAAGTGAATTTTTTTGAAGAGGTTTTTAAAGAATATATACCCATTTTTTTTTATAGAATTAAAGTAATTGAAGATGGAGGCTGTCAAGCTCTATAATAGCAAAAAATAAAAGGCCATAAAAGTAGTCTTGATGCTTTGTGTATACTTGCGTTTTGAGTTTCCTGGAAGATGGAAAGTCACTCAGGTTTGGTACAACATTAGGGTAAAGATCATTTTTAGGTGAAGTTTTCAAAGTCGTTTCCTTAGGTTTGGCTGTTTATTTATTTATTTATTTGTGCAATATCTCACACATACCAACTTGGAAAAAAGAAAATAATTGTTATTGCCTCCATATAAGTGTTAATTTAGTATTATTTGTGCTGTTATAGTTATTATTGATATTTTGAATCAGAATTACATTACATTTTCATTTTAACTTCATTTTCAGTAATTTTATGTGCTTTTGTAGTTTTTCTTAGTTTTTTTTTAATATTACCATTTAGTTTAAATTTTTTTTTATTTCCAGTCAGCAATTTGAACTTTTTGTTGGTGGCCAAGGCAGCATTTCTCATTTTGATTTAGTTTAGTCTTAACATCTAATATTTATAATTTATTTATTTTAGTGCTGTCAATGATTAAACACATCCAAAATAAGTTTTGGTTTACATAATATATGTGTATAATATGTTATATTATAATATATATTATATAATATACGTGTATAATATATAATGTAAAATTTACATAATATACTGTATATTTTTTGTATATATAAATACACACAGATACAGTATATATTTAGAAAATATTTATATATATATATTTATATTCATATAATTTATATTATATATAAATGTATTTAATATATAAAAATGACATTTTTCTTGAATACATGCATGTATGAATTTATATATATATATATATATATATAATAAATGTACACACACATGTTATGTAAACAAAAAAACTTATTTTGGATGTGATTGTTTGACAGCACTAATTTAGTTTTTTTTAGTATTGTTTTTAGTTAACCATACTAATATTTAACAATACTAATCCTGATCTGCACACTTCCTCTTGTTGTGAAACTGTTCATGTCATGTTGCGTTTCTGGTTATTAAAGTATAACATAGCTCATAATGGTTTCTGGACCCCATATTATTAAATTGCCATGTGATGTGTTGTTAGTGGCTGGAAGTGGGTTTTCTGTGGGTGCGTATGAAAAAGCAATCAAGCGGGTTTGGAAGTAGATGTGAGGTGTCTGAGATGTTTTGGGCTGTCTTTTTTCAAGGCCTGTCGTCTTAACATGGCTACGGGTTCTGCCGGCTGTATCATATATTTGAAAAATATCCTCGGTCAGTTACTGCTCTGTTATTGCCATTGTAAGCAGAGAACCCATGGGTTTTATTGTTTTGTGATGAATGATCAGACATTGAGCGCTCACGGCTGGCTTTTTTAATATGACTGTTCTATGCTGATGTTGAAATGACAGGAGCTGTCATTAATAAATAAAAATAATCATTTAGATTCATTGTGTAAATATTATGGTCTTAGTAACCGATTCAAAACAACAGAGCACTGGTCGCACACCTGGTAAGCATTTGACAGGTGTTATGCCTTGGCAGCGTTACACCATGAGTCAGTGCGAATAAAGAACGTCGTAAAACAAGCTGCAGCCACCTACGCTGTCCCTGTTCACATGGACTGAGAACAATATTTTGTCTCTAACTCTTTATCCATATACGGTATTTCATAAAGCTTCATTCAGCTTTTAATAGAGTGAATCAAAGTGTCGAATTCATGTGAAGGACCAGTATATTTCATAATAGATTTTCCAATGTTAAGGTGAAAATCGTAGGTTTGTTTAATCCCACAGAGGGCTTGAGAAAACTCACGGAGATGGTTAAGACACAAGGCGTTTCATTCTGCAAGTATTTATTTTGATTTCATTATTTACAGAATAAAATGATAGGCTACATGAAAGTTTGAGACTTCTAGTTTGCTTTAGTCTGAAAGTCAACAAGTATTACTGTTTGTTACCTGTTTTACTTCTTCAATTGGCTTTTTCACGAGGGAAACAGGATATTCAGTGCTAAAAAAAAAAAGGTGGGAATTAATAGGATTGTGAAAAGCGAGTTTTGCATATCCAAATGTGAATTTGGATTAAAAAAAATAAACCATTAGCTAAATAGCTATTGCTTAACATTATCCAATTGCCTGTATGGCTCAAGTGACAATAATGGAAAAGGAAATTCATTTCAGAAAATGTTATTTTGATTTGATAAGTTACTATAATTTAATTATAGTTTAAAGACAAACATTTGGTAACACTTTATAGTGTTAATTAATATTAAATAATAAAACCGAATTTATTATTCCAAGTCTCTTCTGCTCACAAGTGTGCATTTATTTGACCAAAAATAGTCAAAACAGTAATATTGTGAAATAGATTTACAACTATTTTCTGTTTTAATATATATTTTAAAATGCATTTTATTCCTATGATGGAAAAGCTGAATTTTTAGCAGCCATTAATTCAGTTTCCAGTGTAGCCCCCCCCCACAAGGATTCTTTGTTGAATATAAAGTTCAGAAGAACAGCATTCATTAGAAATAGAAAATAGAATAATTTTTTTTACATTTAAAAGTATTAATTTCATTTAATAAAATGACTGACCCCAGACCTCCAGATGCTAGTCTATGCTAATGTGTTTTTAACATTTCAAGTGGTATACTTGACCAAAAATAGTCAAAACAGTAATATTGTGAAATAGATTTACAACTATTTTCTGTTTTAATATATATTTTAAAATGCATTTTATTCCTATGATGGAAAAGCTGAATTTTTAGCAGCCATTAATTCAGTTTCCAGTGTAGCCCCCCCCCACAAGGATTCTTTGTTGAATATAAAGTTCAGAAGAACAGCATTCATTAGAAATAGAAAATAGAATAATTTTTTCATTTAATAAAATGACTGACCCCAGACCTCCAGATGCTAGTCTATGCTAATGTGTTTTTAACATTTCAAGTGGTATAATTGAAAAGTATAGCTACTCAAAAAAGAAAATCCTTTACTAAACAGTTTGACTTTCTTCTGTGAAACACAATGGATTTTTTTTCTTTGAAAAATGTCTGGTGTTTTTTGTTCATGTTGTTTTAGACTCTTGACATAGAAACAGTTCAAACCTTTTTCACAATATATTCTTTTGTGTTCCACACAAGAAAGGAAGTCATACTGGTTTGGAACGATGACAGAACTGTTCCTTTAACAATGAACAATAGTATATTTACAAATTAAAATGTTTATTTTCTTAAAATTGTTGTTCATTTTAAGATTATGATGCATTAACTAATGTTAACAGATTAAACCACATTAGAAAGTGTTACCACGTTAACATAGCAATGAATTGTTCACAAGACCAGGAAATGTGCATTAAGAAAGTAAATGAAGCTTAGATAATATGATCCAAAGTGCTAATAGGTGGTCATTTATAGACGTATGGAGTCTAGACCGCTTTATCTGTCATTGAGCTGTACTTCAAATGCATCTCACACACCATTTACATTGCAAAAATTCTGCTGTACTCACCTCATTTACATCTTTTTTTTATAGTTTGTTAATACACGTTAGGGAACCGTTCACTTTGGTACTTCTGCATGCAGGAGAGGCAGTGTTAATGAGGAGACTATGAAGTGTCGTTCTGAAATTAACACTCTGGCAGAGAATTTTAACACATGCACACACTTTCACTCGCTCTCAACATGCGTCCGAACACACACCGTCCAGACTAAATTGTCAACAAAAGTGTTGTCAGTCAGACCTATGTAAAGTTTAAGTGTAATCTATATGAGAATCATCATGACATTAAACTGCCAGTCAGTGTTGAAGGCATTCTGTGTCTATTTTTTGACGATTCCTCTGAGAATAAAATGCATGATGAGGTGCAAGCATGAAACCGGAGAGTATTTTGACAGTTTTGTCTGAAAATTTAGATGTGATAACACAAGGTTTCTCACTGTCGGTTTTCTTTAAACAGCCCGAGAGGCTTTGCGCCTCACATTTCTGCTTTTATCGTGTTGCACCAAATTCGTTTTCTTGGCTATTTGGGACACACATTCAGTTGAAAATAGGACTTTAAGGGGATGAGGTTCAGCGGGGCCTGGTTATTTGGACTTGTCCATCAAAAGGTGATTGCAATTCGTTGTCGAGCGAACTCCTTTTCCTCGGGCCTGAAATGTGTGTGTTTCTCATTAAAAGAATGTCCAGCTCTGCACAAAGGAATTGTTATGTTTGGGCAACATCTGTGTCTTAAAAGGCCAAGGGGAAAAGGCCAGAGAAAATATAGGACAAACATTAAATCATAAGTACAACAATTTTTCCTTGGTAATTGAACGTTGGCTCTACTTTTCCCACAGAATTGTGGTGCATCTGTATATGTGCGAGCGTAAGGAGAGAAAGAAAATCGCTATGTGAAGACTGTTGCTTTCAATTCGCTCTTCCTCTGAACATGTGATATTTCCTTTATGCACCCTTCTTTAAACAATAATTTAATATTGAGTAATTTACATTTCAGACACTATATGGCCTTTTATTTTATTTATTGTTGTGGCGTCAAAACATGATCTAACCAAAAGTAACTTTTATATAAGTCCATGAGTTATACTACAGCAGGCATGTAAAAACAGTGTATTGTGTGAACTGCAATTTGCTTTCAGAGTCATAATCATCATGAAAAACATTGTGGATTTCAATTGTCCCTTTATAAATTAAATGATAACGCTTTACAATAAGGTTCAATTAGTTAATGCATTAGGTACAATAATGTTATAAAAAAGATGTTGAAATGTTGAAGTACTTTTATTTAGCAAGGTCAAACTAATTTGGTCCATTTATAATGTAATAATCATAAGAAATATTTAATGAGCAACCAAAGGATCATGTGACACAGCTTTGCCATCACAGAAAAAAATTACATTTTATAAAATCGGAAACATTTTAAATTAATTGAGATTAATAAATGCTGTTTGTGACACCAAATGCATTAGCTAACTATCGAAAAAATGCAACTTTATTATAAAGAGTTGCCATTAAATTATCAAATTAAATGATAATTTATAAGTATGTGGTTCTTGCTTGCCACTTCAGCATAATTTGTCAGATGTTGATCATTTACAAATATATTGTGCCTCCTGAAATATTAGTATTTTCTTAAATATTTTCTCATTATTTTTTGGATACTGCAGTGACATATTCAAGATCTGTGATCTCTTGGCAACTGATTGTGCATTTCAACAAGCTGTTTCAACCGTGAGTCAGAGTGAAGAACAGCACAAAGCATTAGTGACGGAAGTGTTCATGGTTAGTTTAGCTGGAGGGGCTGTCGGAGATTATGGTACTGCTGCTTTGGACATAAGAGGGAGATCTTGTACTGAGGATGAAGGGACATAGATCAGCTCCATGGGAGAGAGCCTGAGATCGAAAAAATGCAACTTTATTATAAAGAGTTGCCATTAAATTATCAAATTAAATGATAATTTATAAGTATGTGGTTCTTGCTTGCCACTTCAGCATAATTTGTCAGATGTTGATCATTTACAAATATATTGTGCCTCCTGAAATATTAGTATTTTCTTAAATATTTTCTCATTATTTTTTGGATACTGCAGTGACATATTCAAGATCTGTGATCTCTTGGCAACTGATTGTGCATTTCAACAAGCTGTTTGAACCGTGAGTCAGAGTGAAGAACAGCACAAAGCATTAGTGACGGAAGTGTTCATGGTTAGTTTAGCTGGAGGGGCTGTCGGAGATTACGGTACTGCTGCTTTGGACATAAGAGGGAGATCTTGTACTGAGGATGAAGGGACATAGATCAGCTCCATGGGAGAGAGCCTGAGGTGTGTGTGTGTGCACGCTGCTTCGGTGATTTGCAGGTCAGTGTCAAACAGGTGGGAGGAAGAGAAGCCTTCGCCGTCTGCTGCTCTCAGACTGCTCACGGGCTCCGTTCCCATCTGCTGCGCACTGCCTTTGGTGGCACTATACACCCACGATGCACTGCTCCCAGTCTATAGCACTAACAGGTGGAGGAGTGTGCGTGGGAGCATTAGGAAGCTAAGCGGAATGTATATGTACCTGAGGGGAAATGTGTAATGTCTCTAGCCGCTATCCCGGCATGGGTTGGGGAGCGAAAATTTGTAGCTAGACATGATAAACATACAACAAACACAAACTCACACATGTAGCCAGTCAATGGTGGATAATACGCAAAATCAGAAAAACAATCATTCCAAACCTGTATGACATTCTTTTTTTTCTGTAGAACACAAAAGGATGGTGTTTACACTGCTCGTTTCCATGCAAAAGTGAGCAAGGAAAAACACAGTAACACACTATAGAATAATCTAGTTGGATTGTAAGGTTTTTATCCAAGTCTTCTTAAAGCATACAATAAATTTATGATGTAAAAACATTTGCATATTCAAATTTGGTATGCTGTGAGTCACTGATCGGCTGATAGAGATTGCTTGTAAATTATAGTTAATGGTTGATATTGGATTTGTAATTGTTAATGCTCATTCCCTTATTTTTACCTTTATTTGCCATCTAACGATCACTAAAAGTAAAAAAAAATTTAAATTATGTCCAGGTAAGTTTAACTTAGAAGATCCAAAAAGATCATAAAGGGATTGCTTAGTTCATAAGTTTGATTTTCGATTTTTATAAATTTTGGTTACCTTTTAATGGAGGGACAGAAACCTCTCATTAAAAATCTCTTAATTTGTGTTTTGAAGATTAACCAAAGATTTCCATAGTATTTTCTCTGCATAAGTCTGTTTAGTTGCCTACATTCTTCAAAATACCTTCTGTTGTGTTCCACAGAAGAAAGAAATTCATAAAGGCTTGGAACGTCATGAGGGGGAGTAAATGATGACAGAATTTTCATTTTTGGCTGAACTATCCCTTTAACTTACTCTTTGAGGAATCCCAGATGTAGTTGTTCAGGATTTCTCCAAAGACGTAGTAGACACTGATCAGAGCCGTGAGGCAGACGAAGAAGAGAATTCTGGCCATGGGCCCGATGTGCTCCAGCAAGGGATAAACCCACACCCCCGTCATGCTGTGCACCCAGCACATCCTATGAGAGCGAGACAGAGTAAATCTGTTACCTCTGCACCCGTGATCTGTCTAATATGTTTGTCCTTCTGTCTGCTAAATCCAGCACTTGAAAGGCTGCAGAAGCAGTCACCACACTGTCAATGTGTCTACCATTCATGTCTGTGAATGCTAGACACTGCTCTTTTTGTTACGATGCGGCGCTGCTTAAATTCTTTTTTGCTGGAGCAATTTGAATGCAGTCACATGGTTATAATCTACGGTCTGACAGCCCGTTTATGTAATGGATTGTGCCTGTTTAATCTACTCCCGCACTCATAACCTTAGCTTTAATATTTGATGAATATTAAAGAAGGCCCATCTACCTACTTTTCAAATGGCTTGTTTTCTCAGCCTCGTGAGTGTCCTGTGAAATGGTGTGTATAAAAGCTGTCTCTGGAAGGTAATCCTCATGTAAAGCTGCCTATGGATTTAACAACTGCAGGCAAGTCTTATTCCCTGACTAAATAAAATGCAATGCCTAATCAGCTTAATTTAGGGAAGGGAAATAAGACAGAGAGGTGTGTGCTGATAATCTTATACTTGAGGTGATTTTGACAGAGGCCTCCTCCATGCTGTCAAACTAGTTTAGTTTGACTCCAAGGACTTTCTTCATATTGCCAATGAATCTGTTATATGCCAGACTAAATAAATCCGTGGCTGATTATTTCCCAAAGGTTTCTGGGGCACTCAAATTGGGGATGCGTCTACAAAAGGCATGAATTGTGTACAAAACAGGGCTCGAAACTCTTAAAATATATTTTCTCCCCCATCAAGCTGTGCTTGTCAACCTCAGGAGGTCAAACTAAATTTTATACGAGCTGTTTTATTTTCCATTTATTTTATATGAGGTTTGCAGTTTTCCAGTGTTGTTGCCAGTTTGAGACTAATTGGATCTAAATAGTTTGAAAACCCTTTTTTGTATATGTATATACATTTTATTTTCTAAAAAATAATTATTATTTATCCTATTTATTATATTTTTATTTTTATAATTATTATTATTGTTGTTGTTTTCAAACTACACCTGTTTAACAGAATTTTTGCGAATGTGTTATTTTCTAGACAAAAATTATTATTATTATTATTGAGAAATTATTCATATTTACTTTTATTTATTCTTAATTATGTATTAATTTTTATATTTATTACGGCATCAACTAATATTACATTTATTAATTAAACTATTCAACTATTAATAAATAACTAAATAAAAAATAAATAAATGTATTGTTCTTGTTGTTTTTTAACTACACCAGAACATGATGTAACAGTATCTAAATACTGGTAGTTTAAAAATCCTGGTTTGTTTGATTTTATTAAATTTTTTCGTTAGCTTGCAAATAAATAAATATTATTATTACCAACAATTAATAATGAATTCTTCTTCTTATTAATTAATTATTATATAACACCATATATTTTATAATAACTAAAATAATAATAATAGTAATGATTGTTCTTGTTGCTGCTGGTTTAAACTACACCAGAATGTCTAACAGGGTCACAGGTTTAGTCTAAAGCTAGTTGACCAAATGTTGGCTTGTAGTTATTGATAAACCTGTATGTTTTATAAAGGGACAAGTCAAAGTCTCTGTTTTAAGTGGGGATACAGACGCCTTTTGCTGGGTTCATTTCTTGTTAGGTGATAGTTTACATGGGATTTGTGCCTCTAATGCTTTTACAATGTAATGGGAGCCCAAAGTTTACCCTATTCGTGGAAAGTGCCAGAATTCAAGCAAATTAATTACTATGCAGAAAGACATAAGGGAATGATTTGGAGGTCAGGAAGATCAGGTGACCAGATGGAATCTTTCTTTTGACTGACACTGTGCTAGAACAATGCAAAGCCAGTTTCTTTCTTTCCTTTGTAAATGAGCCCAGTGTGATATTAAAAATGACTGTGCTGAAAAGAGACATTTACCATACAACATATCCCACAGCAAACATGCACACCGCGAAGAGTCCACAAGTCCTGCTGGGATATCGATGGTGTGTTGTTCTCATCTCAATTATGATAAAAGGAAGAACTGTTGTGTGCTGAAAAGGACAGAAATAGATCACAGTTAGCTTTACAAATTACTCTAAAGCATAAAAAAAATTGCCGCATTGTCGGCAAATTTCAATTGGCATGCTAGACGAGGCTTCTCCTGCCATGTGAGTGACGAGAATGGGTGAGCTCTCATTATTATAACCATTACTACCATTATGCAAGCCAATACAAACACTTCAGGTCATGGATAGTAATATAAAGTTAGTTTATTGGGGTTTTTTTTTAATGTAGAGCTGAACATCTGTTTCATTTTTATAAGGCCACTACCCATGTGCATTGTGCATGAGAAAATATTTAGGCTGAGGTTTGTTAAAAGTTGCAATGAACGATGACATACGATGACTTAATGCACATTAAGTCAGTATTAAAGGCAAATCATTTTAAAAACGGACATTCATTGTGTACTTAAAGTCATTGTTTGCTCACCTTCATGCCATTTCAAGCCTGTATGACTTTCTTCTTCTGTAGAACTCGAAAGAAGATATTTTGAAGAATGTTGGCAACCAAACAGTTTTGCTTCACATGGACTTCCATTTTTTGACCACATAATGGAAGTCTATGGAAGCCCATTTTTGCTTCAGAATAATTTTTTCTTCTTCTTGCAATTCGTTTATTTCTCACAATTCTGGCTTTTTTTTTGGCAATTCTGAGAAACAAACTCAGAATTGAGAGATATTAATTCAAGCTTTTTTTTCTTGCAATTCTGAATTGATATCTTGAATTTCTGAGAATTCAAAGAAAAACTATTCAGAACTGCAGGTGAAAAGTGTGAACAGACTCAGAATGGCAAGAAACAAAGTTGTGAGATAAAAAGTTGTACCTATACCTTTTTTTATTTTTCTATACTGTGGTGGAAACGCACTGTTTGGTACCATATAATGGAAGTCAGTGGGAGCCAGAATTGTTTGGTTACCAACATTCTTCAAAATAGCTTATTTTGTGTCCCACAGAAGAAACAAAGTCATATAGCTTTAGAACTACATAAGGGTGAGTAACCGGTGACTATTTAAAAAAAAAATGTGTGTACAATCCCATGGGCTTCTTCCATTGTATGTTCACTTCTTCTGTTTGTCACCAGGTGGCACCCTTCTTTCATAGAGACAGTCAAAACTCTCTCGTCTCCTGCAGATCTTGCCTCATTTGACCCCACGTCTGTGGTGGAAACGGCATCCAAAGGAAGACTTATGAGCCTTACTGAAATGACATGACATGTTGATATTCTGATATGCCTTTAACATGCCAGCACAGCTCTTACTGAACCCCCTTTTACAACACAATCATATTTCCACACTAAATAAAAAACAGACCACATTTACTGGGCTTTCCCTAGATATGAGCGTGCCAGCCCGCTTAAAGCTCGGATGCTGGGTGTTTAAGTCTGTCTCATCAGATCGGCAGGTCTGAACTTGTCTTTGACAAGTGTGAGGATGAGATGTACAGTCAGTGAGAGAGCAGCTATTTGTGTGTCGTTCTGTGACTGAACCCATGATGTGCTTGATACCAGTTATGAGTCACGTTACTGCTAACCAAACAGATACTGTAATGCTCAAGAACAGCGGGCAATGTCAATCAAAAGTCATATAGGAAGGTTAATCAGCTCTGATTCACTGTGACCCAGTTTTCAGTAGTTGGTGTTTTCACCAGTGTTGTTAAGGTTTTAAACGCCTCACTGTAAAAATCAAGGCTGTGTGATGCATTGAGATGTTTTTGAGTCTTAATTAATTGTTCCCAGTAACACAACTTAGTGTATCCGAGTCGAATTAGCTTGTTTACTAAATGGAAAATGTCCCATATATAGCCAATACATCCATGTCAGTGTCAGTGGTACTGTATTTTTGAAACAATTCTTCTATCACTTCCTCCTTGTAAATCTAAGAATTGTTTGGCGCCTGTCACTGTTATTGAGGTTTGTGTGTAAAGCATTGTGGGCTATGTGCATTCAACTGAAACTTTTGCACGTAATGCCTTTGCTTTGCAATATGTTCTCTTCAGAGGTTCCTCAACTGTAAGTTGCTTCGGATAAAAGCATCTGCCAAATGGATAAATGTAAATCCTGCAGAACTGTTTGTCATTAAGAATCAAATGGAAACATGCTTTATAAAGTAATAAGTTCTAAAACAACAAATAGACACATGATAATAACAGGACATGCTAAGGACAATAATTAAGACTTAGAATATGTATATGTATGTAAAGACAGATATATACACACACACACACACTACTGTTCAAAAATGTATACTTTATTGATCATTTTGATATGTATATGTAAAAATCATATATATATACACACACTCAAAAATGTATACTTTATTGATCTTTTTTTAGCAAGGATGTATTAAATTATTAAATTAAATTCACCAAAATGTACTTTTAAATTGTTACAAAACATTTCTATTTCAAATAAATGTAGCTTTGCCTGAAAATATTGTATCATGGTTTCTAAAATAAATAAACAAATAAAATAAAAATCAACTCTTTCCAACATTTATAATAAAAATAAATGTTTCTTGAGCACTAAATCAGCATGAATGATTTCTGAAGGATCATGAAGACTAATGGATGCAGTCTTCATGATCCTTCAGAAATCATTCTAATAAAACAGTTATTATTAATTATTAATACCACACACACACACACACACACACACATATAGAAAGAGAGACAGAGAAATCCATATAGAAATATAGAAAATAGAAATCCATAGCTGCAATGTGCCTAAGTACTCATCCAGACAGACATCTTTTCCTGTTTTCTCAGCACTATGAGTGAAGAGTTTTTTTCAAGACTTGTTAAAAATGTCGAGATAAAAATGGTTTTAAAAACGTGTCGCGAGACCCCTGCATTCTGTTCCCCATCTAGCTATTTGTGAACGCAAAAACGCGTCCTGTGTGAATGAGCATGCTCCTGACTCATTCTGTGCTGTCTGCTCTCAGTACGTGTGGTTTGGCACACTGTCTACGCTGACTGCAGGATGCAAAAACATTAGGGTGGTAAATGAAGCATTTGTTGTAGTGCTAATTTCTTTATTATGTTTTTGTTTATTATTAATATAAATCAATTATTATTATGATTACTTAATTAAGATTAATCATCTAAATTAATGTTAATTGAATTTTACATTCAAAGTTGAAATATGTAGTATAAAATGTGATTTCTTGTTTTTTTTTTTTTTTAAACAGTGAACTGATGTTGGATACTCTGTCTGATCCTTTGTGTGTTCTCTGTTCTTCTTGTGTGTGCATGTGCACATCTTTCTTCACCGTAATGATTTTTCCCTAATCGTTCAGTGCCCTCAAATATTTACAAAACATGTTTGCGACAAGTTTGGGAGATTCAGAAAACCTTTTCATCTCTTCCCAGAAGCAAGTCAGGGAGTCAAAGTTGGCACTTGGATAATAGACGGTTATTCTGTTCATTACGGTGATTACGGTCTAATTGCTATAATGTCAAACCTCTGCAGAAAAAACAAAGAACGTATGCTTCTAGAGGTGTGGAGATGTGTCTCAGCACGCATGTAGCACTAAAGTATTCTCCAAGGAGCTCGCTCACCCACACACATTCCATCTAACAAATCACAGTGAGGGGTAATCATTAATGCCCCGCTATCGAAACCCCTCATGATCTGCTGAAATGACTCTCAACCTCTCCAGACTGATCTTGAGAGACTTGTGGCTGTACTAGAGCACTTGTGCAGAAACTAGCGTGGGTTTTGAAGCTGCATACCAATAAGGGAATTTTAACAAGCAAAAAAAACATATTTATATTAAAGAAGAAGGACACAAATTGAGGCCTAATTTGGCCATTTTTTTGGCAAGTTATAATTCTTCATATTATAATTCTTACAATATATTATACAATTCATAATACAATTCTTTATAAAATTCACCCTAGTGGCTGGTGCTTTTCAAAATATGTTCACCAGCTTACCAAGTTAGAATTTATTTGATACAAATATAGTAAAAACAGCAATATAGTGAAATATTAAAATGTAAAAGAACAGAATATATTTCATATATTTATATATCTGTGATATATATTTTCAGCAGCCATTACTCCAGTCTTCAATGTCACATGATACTTCAGAAATAATTCTGAGATAATGATTTGGTGGAACATTTCTTTATTTCTTATTAACAGCTGTGTAGCTTCATATTTTTGTGGAAACCTTGACACATTTTGTCTTTGAGGAACAGAAAGCTCAAATGAATGAACTATCACTTTTGATTGGTTTCATTTGTCCTTGCTGAATAAAAGTATTATATATATATATATATATATACAGTGGGTACGGAAAGTATTCAGA